CTTGAATATTTTTCCTTTATTTTACTTTAAGCATTTAATTTTTGTTTTGAATTCTCTTTATTCAAAATTAATCACAATATTAGTTTTTTTTTATATTAATACATTATTTTTTATATTTAATTGTTTTAGTTAATATGTATACATTCATTATAATAATTTAAATAATAAAAAAGGAATTTACATTTTTTATTTTATTTTATATACATTCAAAAAAATTCTATATTTCCCACAACAAAAAAGAAAAAAATCCTAGGCCCAAATAAATCTAAAAATATATAATTTTTCACTCATTAAGCAAAATATAATGACATATTTCTCACTTTTATTTTATTTTCATTTTATTTATTTTTTTGTGGTGAAATATAGCCTAGACATCTTCATCAACAATTTTAGCTTTATGTGCAATGTGAACAATTGTCATTTCCACATCATAGGAATAATGCTTTCATTTATTGTGTGCATGTTTCAGTAGTGCCAGGCTGGCGGTTTCATATCCCTGAGCTGTTCCGAGTCAGGCTGACTTCAGTGGATTTGCCGCTATGGGTTTTATTTCCCAGGGTAGCATCATATGGCCCGTGTTACATCACAGCTTTATCAGTGACTCATAGGTGATGCCTTAGAGCAGTGTTTCCCAACCGGGGTGCCGCGGCACCCTGGGGTGCCGTCTGTCGAGAGCAGGGATGCCGTGTAAAAAAATCCTTTTTTAATATTTTTAAATTGCTAAAATGTTCAAAAAAGCATCTATTATATAATATCCATTTCTGATGTCGCCAATAATTAGAGATGCACCGAAATTTCGGCTGCCGAAAATTAGTTCACCACTCAGGATTCACTTTCACGTGGTGTGACGCTCTGCGTATTATCCCGCTGCGTGTGTGTGCTCCGCTCAGTCGCTCCACTCGTATACCGTTCATGCTCATCGGAACAGCAAAGTCCACTCAAAAACCGAGCCGACAGGAAACATCGATGTAGTACAGTATTGTTTCTGTCTGCAATAGCCCTACTGTGTTGTAACATGGTGTGGTATACTCTGGTAACGCTGCCCTCTCATTCATTGATCTGCTAACCGCTATGTTATGCTCGCAAAAAATTTGTGAGATAGCTAGTTATAATGGTAATTAAATAAGGTTTACATATGTATAAAAGCCTACATTAAAATCTGTCATATAAATTGATCTCTTCATTAGAAATTAGCCTACTGATTGCCACCATTGATGGACAATTTTTTTTAAATAATATTAAAAATATCTGTATGACATTATATTCTGCAGTTCTTCCCTGTTGTACCGAATATCTATACTTTTCAAATTATCATATCGAAGTTAGAAATTCAAATATGGTGACAAAATTAATTTTGTAGGGTGCCACAAGTTTGTTCAAATTTCCAAAGGGTGCCGCAACTAAAAAAAAGGTTGGGAAACACTGCCTTAGAGAACCGAACTCTCTTATGAAAAAGCATGGCTGAGTCTACACACATCACAATGCCTGGATCAGTAATATGGACAGATCGTATCACTCTGTCTGCCTCTGTCAAGTTGTTGCATAATTGTGGGTCAATCTGACACCTCCTCATATCTTTGTCTTCATCACTGGCTTCATGTAACCGCTCAGTATGCAGTCAGTAGCTCATCTTTCTCTTTCGTTTTCTCTGCCTTGTTTTTCTCCCTCTTCCTCTGTTTACCTGTCGGATAGAGTAGTTTTATTCATTAGGTGGCTCACCCTGTTCTCCCCTAGGATTTGTCCTGCTCAGTCAAAACACGAAAACATTTTGAGCCGCGTCGTTGGTGCATGTGTTTCAGACGTGCAGATCAGCACCAAAACATTGCTCTGTTTGTTTAAGCAAGACAAAAACGCAATTTAAACAAATGATGTGAGTTTGGGGTGAAAGTAACCGCTAGTGTGAATAATGAAAAATGAGAGGAGTCACTGGGAAATAATGGCACAGAAATGACACTGTGCTTTAAAATGACAGAAAGCTGCTGCATTTTGTAGTATTTTGAACATAGTTAATCAAAGGTACTTTTATTACTCCCAACATCACAACAGCTTATTTCACTTTTCCAGATGTAGAAAAATGTCTTATGTACGGCACACAAGTTTAAGTTAAGTAATAAATAAATTTAGTTAAAGGTGGCATATCATGAAAATCTGACTTTTCCAGGTTTTAAGTGCTATAATCAGGTCCGTGGTGCATCTATGGTATAGGGCTTAAATGCAAATGATTACAGTGAGAAAGCCATGGCATCAAAATACAATTTTATTATACTTGAAAGTGCTTTATTAAAAAAATAAAAAAAATTATATATTAATTTATTTATTTCTATATTTGCATTTATTTTAATTTCTATAATATGTATTTATTTGTATTCATTTCTGTATTATTTATTTATAATTTAATTTATATTAATTTCTACATTTGTTTTCTTTTTTTTCTTCCTTATCTTTAACCTGTTTTTGTCTATTTTTATTAGCTTTAATAAGTTAAAAATGTTCAGTAAGACATGTTGAAGAAATTCTGATATTTACTGTATAATCATGTCTTTTGTCAAACACTAAACAATAGGAAGCATTTATTTTCAGAACAGAAAAAAATGTAAACACGAGCCTCACGTTTAGTATGATGCTACTTTACATAAATCTTTTCTACTTTTATGGAGTGAATCTGACTGAATCTCATCTCAGATTTTTTGGCTATGGAGTCACAATAGTTCAGTGAGTCCATCCTGCGGGAGCCGACGCAACCCCTCCACCTCCTTTCTGATACACTATGACCACTGCTGTGTTTTAATAAGCTGGATAGATCCCAATATTCACCTCCTTTTGCTGCTAATATTCACCCTGTGGTTAATTGGTAACTCCATCCGCCTGGATGACTTGGACTGTCGCCCCCAACGACTGTGCCATTCTTTGTGCTTATTTAAATAACACCATATTGCTAATTGATTTCATGTCGGTGCATTAGCAGGCTGTTGCACAGACCCTGGCTGATCTTTGATGCCTTTTAATATTTCACGACCACGCTTTTAATTTTAGCACCCTTTATTCACGCATGGCTCGTTTTGTTTTTGTGCACCGACTCGTATGAGCAGATGAACTTGTTGCAGATAGGTGTGTGCATTAGCATGGCATTGGGGGGATCATTTGATTGGCATTTCATAAAGTATTGTGCAGTGTAATGATGCCTAAAGGCTCTCATGTCACCTGTCATGTCACCTTTATGAACGTATGAATTAGTCAGATGACTAGTGGAGCAGTTAGCGTCTATCCAGGTGAATGCCTTCCGTCCTTTATGCAGGTGGAAACCAAAGATGGCTTTCCCGAATAACCTGCAGCCTTTTAATGGGGCCCCTTTTGCTCTCTCCTTTGTGAAGTGAGACTGAGAGGGGAGACCTCAGAAACAGCTGGTTTCAGATGGTTGACCAGTGATTCTCATCGGTCAGACAGGCTTGTGTTTTCGCCAGTGTTGGACAGCATTGCTGTGTTTTGAAAAGGATGATTTAAGAGGAAATCTCCCAAATTGTATTGCTCTGAGGTTGCTTTTTAATTATCCAGGATGGACAACTGATATTTTAAAAGATTTTTTTTTTCCTACAAGTTAATGTTTTGATTATTTTTTTTAATCCATATATTCGAATATTGATTTCAATAGTTTTTTTTCCCCAAATGGTTTCATACATATATATATATATATATATATATATATATATATATATATACATATCAGGATCCTTTGATTAATAGAAAGTTCAAAAGAGTAGCGTTTATTTGAAATATAAATATTTTTATAACATTATAAATGTCTTTTGCATAACTTTTAGTCCATTTAATGCATCCTTACTGAATAAAGGTATTAAAGTGCCCCTATTATGCTATTTGAAAGGTTCATAATTTGGTTTTGGGAGTTTTGGCCCCAACAACAGGTTTACATGCATGCAAGGTCAAATTTAATTTTGTGTTATTTCTTGGCGACTCTCAAATGATTCGTTTGAAGATTCATCTTTCCAAACCTTTCAGCTTTACAACTTTGCAGACTGTTTACATTCACATACAGCTACATTACACACTGCATGAAATGTAATTTTCAAAACTCCATAATAGGTGCACTTTAATTAAAAGAAAAAAAAACATCATACTGACCACAAACATTTGAACAGTAGTGTATCTCTCTCTCTCCCCGTGTTTGTTTTTGCAATAAGCATAACATAATGTATATATATATATATATATATATATATACATGTAAAACAGTGCATTAACATTTTGTCCATTCCCTTTGGAGAAATGCAGTGAGGCATGTCCTTTTTGCCCTTTTCACCTTGTCTCCACCTTTCTGTCAATCAGTTCCTCACCCAGTCTTTTCTCTTCCTCTGTTTGCTAAGAACGTCTGTATGTTTGCATTGTGCTGTTATAATTGGCCTCTTTTAAAAGTCAGATCTCCTCTGCTGCATTTCAATTGAGAGGCTTCAAAGAGAAAGCTGTGTTTGTGTGTTTGAATGGGTCATCAAACCATTTCGGTGTGTTTTAATGAGCCCTGACTAACTTGAATATTGGCTCTGAATCCTGAGGCCCTTCAGAACAAGTGGTGCTCCTGATACAACCAGATTCAGCCTCATTTTTACATTTGGAGCCATAAGAGCCACCAGTGGGCTCCTTAAATGACGCTGACCTCCCATCAGGAACATTTTCTAAAATGCAGATGTAAAAATAGAAGCTAAATTAGGCTCAGTGTCTTCCATCATGACACACTCACCTTTTGCTTTTAAACCACACTAGCCGTGTCCATTATGATATTTCTATTTAGAGGTGTTGTTACGACACTCTGTGTCACTGTAACCGAAGTAAATGGCCTTTGTAGTTAATATTAGCTGATAGCTAGCTGTGATTACCACTAAAGCATGTTGTCAGGTAGCGAGTAAAAGGCGAAAATTATTTTGAGATACACTCTATAAGATGTAACCAAATGTATTATTATTTCATGTTTTTCTTTCCCTCATTTTCAGATGGTGGTGTTGATGGACCCTATGGAGGATCCAGATGATATTCTTCGAGCTCATCGATCCAGAGAGAAGACTTACATGTTTGATGTGGCCTTCGATTATTCAGCCACGCAGGCAAGTCCATTCTGTGTTTGTGCCTGTGTATGTTTGTAAGGGTGGATCGATTTAAAGTACATGCATATACAAAAGTTAACATGCTTTCAAAAAGATCACGTTTATGCAATTATTCGCACGCATTATGATAGACCTATAGAAAAAAATATTTGAATCTTTTTCTTTTCTAAGAATGGCTTAACTTGAAGTTATGTTTACTGTGTGTCTTTGAATGAAACCGATGAAAATACACACAACATGTTTTGTATGTGCCTTCCTTAGGATGAGGTGTACAGATCCACCACTAAATGCTTGATTGAAGGTCTCATATCAGGGTACAATGCCACTGTTTTCGCCTACGGACCCACAGGTCAGTACAGACACAAACACATTCATACCAAGGTCTGGGCAATATGTCAGTTTTTTTTTACCGGATTTAGTAACCATGGTAATTTCACTGAAGAAATAAAACTATTTTTAATCTTAAGTCAAGAATTAAGATTTGTAATGCAGCTCCTGATTTTTTGATTGATTGATTTTGCAATTGTGTTATATCGTGGTAATTGTATTACAGTCTTTTAATAGTGCCTTTGATTTAAACTTAAATTACTAAAAAAAGGCTTAGAGCTAGGGTTGGGTACCGAAACCCGGTACCAATATGGCACCGGTACCTATGTAACCGGTATGTACTAGAACCGAATCCGAAAGCAGATTTCGGTGCCATGCCTGAGCGATCGATTGAAATATTTGTCCTCTGGTTCTCCGAAACGGACGTAAGAAACATCATCGCGGCACTGCACGTGAAAAATAATTTCCCGACTG